TCAGTGTATGCTTAATTTATAGTTGGTTCTTTATCACAACATGGAGGGTCTCATTAGATTTCTTGTAGATCTCATTAAGTTTATCTGCAGTTTCTAGAAAATTATTGAAAGACCTTAAAAGTTTGGTTTTGAACTCTATATCCAGTAGTTTGCTTTCCTCCATTTCTGTCATTTGTGTCCTCTTTCTTTGTCTCCACATTTTTTATGCTTCCCTGTGTTGATAAAGTGATTTTCTGTGCTAAGTGTCCTATAGGGCCCAGTGGCTCAGCCTCCCCAATTACCTGAGGAGGGCACTCTTGGTGCACCCCCTTGTGGTCTTTGTGCACAGTCTTGTTGTAGTTAAGCCTTGATTGTTGTAGGTATCACTGGGAGGAATTGGCCTCCAGGCCAATTGGCTGTGAGAATCAGCTGTGTCTGCAGTGGGAAAATTTCTGTGCTGGAGACACCCCTCTGGGGCAAGATTTGCTTCAATGGGGCTTTGGTGCTCACTGAGTCTGCCCCCTGAGTGTGTCTTTTATGTTTCCAGGGAGGTGCAAACTGGATGGTCCCACTCTGACCTCTGGGCTTCCTGGCTCCTGGATCTCTAGGGAGGTGCTAATCTAGCCTTTGCCTGAGGCTATCCAGCAAAAGCCTCCCTGCAGGGCTTGGGCGGGGCAGGTCCCAAGGGATCAACAGGGCGGGGCTAGCAGTTATGGCTGCTCTCAGTCCTGCCCTCAGAGGCTTTGTTTCTCAATGTCCCCATAATCGATGCAAGCCCCTCAGAGAGAAAGCTGCCCTCGAGTTCCAACCGCTGCCACACAGTCCCGCTTCTCCTGTATGAGTCTGGGTCCCTAGAGACTCGCCCGGAACTGGAGCTCAGAGCCTGAGACTCCCTCCAGATTGAAAACAACAACCGCGCCCTCAGCCGCCAGCCCTCTCCGCATGCACCTCCGCACCTTAGTATTTTACTTCCGTACTGTGCCTCCTCTGAGTCTCAGTATACTTTTCTCTTTCCTTCTAGTTGTAGAATTTCCACTCAGCCAGCCTTCCTGTGGTTCTGGGTGATGTCTGTTCCATCTTTTAGTTGTATTTTTAAAGTGGTTGTTCGAGGCAGCAATCTCCGGTGTTTACCTATGCCGCCATCTTGGTTTCTCCAATTTCCTAATCTTGATAAAAGTACTATGGTTAATAAGGGCATGTCCTTTTCTTAACTAATGCACTCTAAACAATCGCTGCCGTTCACCCTCAAATGATTCAAAAAATTATAAACACACAGAGTGCAAATAATGCAAATGTGAGAAAAAACAACTGGTGAATCTCAGTAAAGGGTATTTAACAGTTCTTTATACTATTCTTGCTACTTTTCTATAATTTTAAAATAATAGCTAAATAAAAGTTGCAGAAACAGCCGAAACCGGTTTGGCTCAGTGGATAGAGCGTCGGCCTGCGGACTGAAGGGTCCCGGGTTCGATTTCGGTCAGGGGCATGTACCTGGGTTGCGGGCACGTCCCCGGTGGGAGATGTGCGGGAGGCAGCTGATCGATGTTTCTCTCCCATCGATGTTTCTGACTCTCTATCTCTCTCCCTTCCTCTCTGTAAAAAATCAATAAAATATATTTTAAAAAAAAGTTGCAGAAACAACTATAGATTAAAGAAACTAGGAGGTGGGCATATGACTGTTCACTGAGAAATTCTTTTATCTTTGCTTTATGATTAAAATTTTCATTTTAATGTTGGAAAAGTGAAGAGACATTAACATTTACAAAAATACCAAAATAATTAGGTAGGTAAAAACAAATCTAACAAAAGATTGTAGACCTTTTATGGGAAAAAAAATCCTAAACAATTTTTAAAAGACATTAAAAATACCTAAGTAAATGGAATGAAATACTTTATAGTTGAATAGGAAGACTGGGTATCATAAAGATGTCAATTCTATCTGCAAAACTGGAGAAAAAACAACCCCACCCAGGGAATGATAAACCTTAATGAGTTTTGAGACAATTATAAAGCTCATTCTAAAAGAACCAAGAATAGCCAACACAATCCTGTGGAAGAAAACTGATCTAAAGCTGTAGTAATGAGTCAGTGCTATATTTGTGCAAAGAAATTCTCAGTGACCAGTGGAATAGAACAGAAAGTCCAGACATCTGTTTCTGGGCTCCCTCTTATATTCACTTTGAAATCTCTTGTTTGTTTGTTTTTTAATATCACTGCACCAGGTTCATAAATTGGGTGGTAGGTTCCCAGGTGCTCATTTTATTATTACATGTTATCACTTACATGTTACATGTATTCTTTTATATGCAGCCAGTATTACTGGAAATTATTTTTAAATAAAGGGCAGAAATGTGACCAGCTTCCAGGAAGCCTCAACCCAGGAATCTGAATGCTCTGGGATATATTTTATTTCTGTTTCCAACTCCTATTCTCTCTGTATGTTGACTGTAGTTCCCCAGGCTGCCTGTCCTCAAAAGGCTGGAACTAGAGAGTTAGGCTGCTTTAGATTTATAGCGAAACAGTCATGTGACTAGGGTGAAACATTCTTCTCCAGCAGCCCCGGTTAAAAAAAAAAAAAAAAAAAAAAAAAAGCTGGATAAGGATTCCAGTTGGTCACCCTTGTACTAAATATAGTGAAGTCCAGACCAATCAGTGTCACCAGCAGAGAATGGGACAGCTGCCCACCTGCAGTCAAGGGGACAAAGTCCATTACCAGGAAAGCTGACAGGAAAGCTGAAGGAGAATGCGCACACAAAACACCCAGCTCCCGCAGGGGACAGCTGCACCTCCGAGACGGGCTGGTAGGATCCGGTGCTGCTGTTACAGCAGCTTTTCTACAGATAAATCTTTCCACAATCTGTCCTTTAGGTTCTTGGTGTGTTGTCCTGTATTTTCCTATTTTCTTGTGTAGCAAGGAACCACTTTATGTTCTGGAATGAGCGGAGAAGTTAGGGGAGTACGTAAATTAAAATCTATTTTATTTTCCTGTGCACCATCCTTCAAGACTTAGCATCATTGTAAAATTAAATAAAAGTATTCACAACTTACAACAGAAGAAAGATTGGCCTCAGGCTTTATGTCTTTAGTCCTTGACAATAGCTTTACTTTGTAAAATCAATAGATTCTATTGTAAGACCTTCAGGAGTACAGAGAGCAAAGACTGCAAAAATAACCTGAAATTTCTACTATCCTATCTAATAAAAGAGTAATATGCAAATTGACCATCACTCCAACACACAAGATGGCCACCACAAGATGACTGGCAGGGGAGGGCAGTTGGGGGCGATCATGCCTGCTGGGGAGGGGAGTTAGGGGTGATGCAGGGGAGGGAAGTTAGGGGTGACCAGGCCAGCAGGGGAGGACAGTTGGGGGGGACCCAGGCCTGCAGGGGAGGGAAGTTGGGGGGAATCAGGCCTGCAGGGGAGGGCAGTTGGGGGTGACCAGGCCAGCATGGGAAGGCAGTTAGGCGTCGATCAGGCTGGCAGGCAGAAGCAGTTAAGGGCAATCAGGCAGGCAGGCGAGTGGTTGGGAGGCTGCAGTCCTGGATTGTGAGAGGGATCTCCGACTGCCCGTTTAGGTCCGATCCCACCAGGGCAGTCGGACATCCCTCGAGGGGTCCCAGATTGGAGAAAGTGCAAGCTGGGCTGAGGGACCCCCCCCACCTGCATGAATTTCGTGCACCGGGCCTCTAGTCTAGAGATAACGGTCATTAACATTTTGGTGAATGTTCTTCCACAGTCTTCCTAGGCATACATACATACATACATACATTGATACAATCCTATCTAATAAAAGACAAAAAGGGTAATTAACTGTACCTCCGCTACGCTTCCCATTGGCTAATCAGGGTGATATGCAAATTAACTGCCAACAAAGATGGCGGTTAATTTGCATACGTAGGCACAATGATGGGAGGCAAAAGGGGAAGGGCGGAAGAAGCTGCCTGCTGCTGATGGTGATCGAAACCCAGGCAGCAGGCAAGAGCCGGGTGGCAGGGCAAAGGCAGAGAACCCGGGCCACCTTTGCCCTGCACGAACTATGCAGCTGATCAAAACCCAGGTAGCAGGCAAGAGCCGGGTGGCAGGGCAAAGGCAGAGAACCCGGGCCACCTTTGCCCTGCGCGAACTATGCAGCCAGGAGAGGGGTGCCGGGCCTCTGGGAGCAGGATGGGAACTTCCCGGGGTTTGCGTCAGGCAGCCGGGAGCGGGGCCAGAACTTCTGCCGCGTTGCTATGGCAACGCGGCAGAAGTTCCCGCCCCGTAGCTGCTTGCTCATTCACTTACTCGCTCATTCATTCACTCATTCACTCACTCATTATTCACTCACTCAGCAAACCCTCTCAGGTCTCTGGCACCAGGCCAGGCATGAAGTTGAAGCAGGATAAGACAGAGCTATGTCCTCAAGATGTTAGTAATTCAGTAGGGTAAAGCAGGCACATGAACGAGGCAGTTGTATGCACAGATGCACTGTACTGGGTTCGGTGAGGGCTGTAAGTAACGCCAACTTTGTTCTCTTGATAAAATGGGGCTTCGGGAGCCAGGCTGCCCCAAGCCTGTAGGCCTGTGCCTAGGCCAGGAGTGGCCAGGATCTCGGAACATGACAGAGGGTGCAGGTCGGGCTGAGGGGTCTGGCCCCACCCCTCACCCCCTCACCCCCGAGTGCACAAATTTTTGTGCACCGGGCTACTAGTCCTATATAATAAAAGGCTAATATGCAAATTGTCCCCTCGATTGGGAGTTCGATCAGGAATTCAACCAGGAGTTCGACCAAGGGGCAGGGCCAGTTGGCCAACCACCCGCAGTCCCTCCCCCTGGCCAGTCCAGCCAATTGGCCTGATCAGGTGGGAGAAGTGGACCCCACCTGCACATGAATTCATGCACCGGGCCTCTAGTTTTACATAATTGTTGAATCAGTCACTTTGGAAAGAAAACCTATTCAACATGAAAATTTTATATCACTGTCAAAATGCCTGCTCTCCAAAATCACTTATTGGTGCTTTTTGTTTGTTTGTTTGTCAATAGGTAATTCTACAAGAATGTTACAGGAAGCACAAGTGCATTATATTTCTCGAAAAGTTTGTAATTCTGATAAGAGTTATGGGAATATAATTCCTATAACTTCATTTTGTGCAGGTGATGAAGATGGAATTTTTGATACTTGCAGGGTAAGACCAAATAATTTTCCTTAGAAATATTTTCTAAAGCCAGAGGGAACTTGAACAAGGCCTTTGATCACTTTCTGGTAAAGCCTTTTTTTTTAATAATAATTTTAGAGAGATGAAGGAAGATACAGAGAGACACACAGAGAGGGAAAAACAATGACTTGTTGTGCATTCATTGGTTGATTCTTGTATGTGCCATGACCTGGGTTTGAACCCACAACCTTGGCTTATTGGGACAATGCTCTAACCAACTGAGCTACCCAGCCAAGGCTGGTGATGTCTTAATTATCAATTTTTGCCCTTGGCGGTGAGACCCGGAGGTGTTTCAGGGTTCATCAGGGCACATGGTTTTGGGTCCCGGTATGGGGTGTGCAGGGAGGCAGTCCATCAGGGTTTTTTTCTCTCCCACTCCTCTCAAAAAACCTTTTAGCCTAACTGGGGTGGGTTCAGTGGGTTAAGC